TTTTCAAAATATTACATTGAATAATTTCTTGTGTTTATTATCTTGTTTGCAAATACAAAGAACAAATATCTTTACCAATATATATATATATATATATATATATATATATATATATATATATATATATATACAAATTGCCCTCTCACCCCTCTTATCAGCTATTGTGGTTTGCCAATGATGAGAACATTTTAAGCTATCTGGCAATAAGACAAAACCTCTGCTGAAATTCAAACTTTCTCACTGTTGGATGCTGAAAAGTTCCAGAAATCAATATTTCAATCACCAGTATTTTTTTTTTTTTTTTTTTTAAATAATTCAAGAAACTTGAGAAACAATGTGCTAAGTGTGTTGAATGGTAGGGTGAATATTAGAATAGCTTGACATATCATTGCTTTTAAGATAGGAACTTTTCAGCACCCTTTTTTTTATATATATATATATATATATATATATATATATATAAAATTTGGTACTTGTAAAAGAGATAGATTTTTTTTCATTTTTCATTATGCAGATATAATATTTTGTTTTAGTCTTTTATCCTAAACTTTTTTTGTGGATACATTTTGACTAATGTTTTTGGTAATGAACAGTATGAATTTGGTTCTTGGGATACCATCTCAGATTTTACAGGTTGCTGCTCTAACCATTGATCCAAGCCAAACTTGTAAGTGCAATTTCTTCTGAATGAAGATTTTTCTTGTTTTTACTTTATTTAATACAGCCAGGGGTTGTGGCACTCTCTTATAATGAAGACCTGAAAGTGAAAGTAAACCAAAGTGAAGGCCAATCCTAACTCCTGCCACTGAAGAGTAACCTTCTCTTTGATTGTATAAACAGGTTGCAGTAGCTTAGAGGCTCAATTCTGCCTTTCCCAATATTACTGATTCATTTTATATTCTTTAGATTGTTTTTGTCTTTTCCCAATCTGCATTTACATTGTGTAGTTTTCGTTTTTTTGCTTTCTGTGCATGTTATCCTGCTTGTCGAATGTTCCTGATTATATTAGTTTGAATAGACTTCAGGCCTATCCTTAGTTCTCAATTGATTTGCTCTAAGCCTCCTTGTATTGTGAGCAAACAGTTACTGCAATAACCTCCACCTGGATGTTGGGTGTGTGTGTAGGTTTTATTAACTCTTTGGAGGATCCAACCAACAATACATTTTGCTGTCTTGTCCACAACTTGATAACAGAACAACTAAAAGACAGTTTTTCTTATTAGAAAAACCTTTTCATGCAGCATCACTTCTATAAGGCTTAAGACCTTCATTCATATTATTTTGAGAGATTAACACCTGTTAATATCCATTTACAGAAATTTTTAATACTTGGTCTATATTTTAGATTTTACAAGTATTAGATTTTATACTTAGGCTAAAGAGTTATCAACACAGAAAATAGAATCCACAGGTTGAATTCAAATTCCAGCTGAAGCTATTATATTCACTTCACACTGAAAGGCATTGAGAAAGGCATGAAATCCATTTCTTCTCCCCCATCAAGTAATAAGTAAATAGTAAGGCTGACTGAATTCTTTAATATTGTAATTGCAGCCAGTTTGAATTCAAAATCATCCTCAAGAGGAATGAGCTCCATCAGGTTTTTGGCCTAGACAGATCTGTTGCAGCGGCACCACATCTGGTGCCCCAAGGACCTTTAAATGGCTTACAGGATTAAAGGAGGTGTTTATTAATTTTTAAAGCTGAATATGATCTTGTGGATCTAACATTGAAGCTGGAACATTAGACTGAAAACGTATTATTCACAGTTGCCATTTCATAAATGAATATTTCAACCTCTTATATTTTAACACAGGGTCAAAATTTTATGTTGAAAGTGAGGCAATATATATATAATTTATATTGACTTTATTCTGTTTTCGAATGAGTTCTTTTTTTTTTTTTATATTTTAATCTTTTTCCTTGTACAGTAAGATTGTCTATAATTGAATACTTATCAATAATTTCTTTTAATTGTTTTTTTTTAGTATCAGATTAGCAATATTAAATCAGCAAAATTTTATAATAATTTTAAAATTGAGTGTCCAATGGCAAAGTACAGTGATTGCCTATAGTAAAATATTTTAAAATCTTTATATGACTAAAAATTTACTAAATAAGAAATATATCAAAATTTTTACATATTTTAATTTTGATATCATTACACTCAAAATAATTGCATTTGTTTTAATATAATAATCTTTTAAGTCAATGTTTTTATCTAATGTAATTATTATTGATCAGCGAACAGTCCAGTAGAAATTAATTACAGTCCACAGAAGTTGAAGTGGCATAGGCTCTCCAGACATCAGAAGGTAAATTGGTAAAGTTCCCCAGGCATAAGAAGAGAAATTTTAACCAACTTATATTTGGTTCATTTGAAGGAGAGGAGACAAACCTTCTGCTGCTGCTGCTTGGAACCATACATTAAGTTTGGGGAGGGGAAATAACTGAATTACTTAACAATTATTTTAAAATTGACAATTTAAAATTTAAACAATTTTTAATAAAAATGAAAAAAAAAAATAATGAATGCTTTTAGAACAATCTTGAAAAGTTTATTTTCAAGGAAATTATTTATAAACCTGCCCATTTACCTTTATTGACTCTCCTGTATGACTATGACCCTAAGCCCCTTTACAAAGCTGATTATTCTTTGATAACATAAGCAGCTGCAAATTGTCCCTGAAACCATTAGACCATTTTGCTTGTTAAATCAGCAATGTGTATTAATGTTTTTTTGTTTGTGCTTGGATATTGGGAATTTTACAAGTTAGAAAGGTAATTTTTATTTTGGTATAAATTCCCTTTTCTTTCATTTGCTGACTTAATTTATCATTTCTGGAAGCAATATGGAATGGTCTGGAGCAGAAATAAACAACATATCAGTAAAATACTTTCTTCACATGATGAATGAACATCTTCAAGAGTTTATTATTAGAAGTTCCTTAGAAACCATTGGGATTATTATCGGGTGTTATACACTCTAATTTCTTTTCCTGCTTATTATCTTTTAAATTAAGGAGAACATTGGAATATCTTATAAGCTGGCAAGTATTCTGCACTGATGATGTTCCAGTTTATCTGAATGAAAGCCTTGTCTTGAAGAGCCTCGCACCCATTCATTTCAGCTAAAATTATATGCTGCCACTTGTTAGTTGCTTGTTAAGCTGAGTACTGCTTGAAACAACAAATTAAAAGTTTTATGACTGACAATTTACAAAAGAAAGTTGACTTCTATTGCATGATCTCTAATTCCAAGATGTCACTTCTCTGTACAACCTTACTTAATATGAACTGGCATTAACAAGCTTATGTGAGCAAAGATTTCATGAAAGTTTTTGTAAGGTGACAGGGAAAAAAGTGGAGATTGTTCTCTCAATGTAAAGTGGAATTGTGATCTCTAACACTTCATTTGCCTTGTCTCCTATGTCAATTAGTCTGCCTTGTGCTTGATAATTGGAGATTATCTGTCTTGGTGTTATGAACGTCAATTTTATTTTGGGAAGGAACATAGTTTAAGATCATTGTAATGTTTGTTACAAAGTGTCTCTTAACATTCTGTTTCATAAGCACTGAAAAATTTCTTTGTTCTTCCTGAGATGACATTTCTATTCAGGTAAAAAAAAAAAACCCAAAAAACAAAGCAAAAACTTTGCCAGTGTGTTTATTGAAACTAATATCTTGTTAAGATTTTTCCACCTGATATATTCACCATATTTTCTGCTGTTATTAATATTCACTTGTTTTAGATTAGTATTTTTATTTATTTATTTTTCTGCAGATAGAATAAACTCTCTTGTCTTCAATTTTTGTTAATGTTTCTTTGGCATCTTTAATATCCAGCAAGTACTTTTGGTTTATCTCCTGCATATTTTCTCAAAAATTCTTCCCTCTTTGGTAACTAGAATTTACAAATTTAAGTGCAGTAAGTACTAAATTGGTGGCTAGGTCTCATCATTTTACAGTTGAATTGGTTATAGATGCAACAGTAAGTTCTAATCTCACAATTTATTCTCTTATTTCTCACTACTAGAACTTCCTTCTGGCTTATTTTCCAATTAATATTGATCTTCAAAAATTTAAATGCAAGGTCAATCATTATCTTCTGTATTCTGTTCTTTTATTGTTCTCTCTACTTAATGTTTTCTTTTTTTCATATTTTCTCACACTCAGTAAACCCTTGCATCTGAGTGGCATTTTTGCCTTGCTTTGGGATGAAATGATTTAAAAAAAAAAAAAAAGGAAAGGGAATTTGATCCTCCTTCTAGCTTCAAATTTATAACAATAAAGTAGTCAACATTTCTCCACCGTTTATCCTGTAACCAAAACTGACCCTTCTTAATTTCTGTATTGAGAGACCCATTCTATATGAAATTGAATCTTAATTCATGTTCTATCAATTATAGATGAAATAATTCTATGAAATGTACAATCAATACACAAGTGACCATGTTTTTGCTACTTGTACTTCAATATTCCATTTACTATTGAAGCACTTTGTGCAAGCAATCTATAAAAATAGAGTATTGATTACACGAAATCCGTCTGCATTTCAAAGACACTTTTGACTTGAATGCTTTGGAGATTTTACTTAGAACTTTCTAATTATTTCTTTGCAATTATTTCTTTCTTTCTTCTTGTTTTGATCATTGAGTGCTGCTTGTATTATTGGCATGTTCTTAAAAACAAATCTCAAAGCAAACATCTTGTAGGCCTCTTGTCTCTGTCTGTTCATTTAGCTGTTCTTATATTCTAAAAGGATGATTTTGGGCGGCATCATTGACAAAAATCTGTTCACTTTTACATGTGAGCCAATAAAAAAAAAAAAGAAAACTAAATGCAATAATAGTGGTGCATAATTATTCGACAAATGGATGTTGATGTTTATTGGCTGTTATTTCTATTCATCCAGTCTGGATTTTTTTCTTCTGTTTATCATTCTTTATGTTTTTTTTATATTTCTTTTTTCTCTTTAGCTTGCTCTCATTTTTCTTTGCTTACGGCCACATCACATTGAAACATCAGTTCCTATAAAAATCACCAAAATTAAGCAATATTGAGCCTGGTCAGTACCTAGATGGGTGACTGCTTGGGAATACCAGGTGCTGTAAGTTTGAGTTTGCGGGTGGTGTAATGGATAATGACTTGGAATCATTAATCAGAGAGCTGAGTTCCAATTTCAGTCGGATTCATTATATTCACTTACAAATACTCTTGAGAAAAGTATGAATCCACCTCTTCTCCCTCCAGCTATGAGTTAATTAGAAAGATTTGTATCACTAAACAATTATTATCTCCAAAAATAAAATAAAATTGCATACAAAATATTTAAATTTTGCCATTAAATAGCTGATAAAAGTTGACATGCCTCTAAAGAAAAGCAAGCTACCTCTTCTTTCTTGTTAGTTCAAAGATTTTTTTTTCTTATTATTTCTGTGTATATGCTTTGACATTTTGGTTGCTCTTTTCTCATTGCCTGACTCCCTTCATCACTTTTTTTTTTCTTTCTCCCATGTGATTGACTTTTTTTTTTTATCATTTTCACTCTCTCTCTCTTTCCTCCATTTCTGCATCCTGAGTATGAAAATAAACTACATCTGGCAGCAAGTAATATGATTGGGAGGTTTTGAGGAGCGTGGAACCACTTCTTAATTGTTGTTGTTCCCAGATCCACCCTGATCTTGGGTGGTAGCTCCTGTTAGGGTCTCAGCTATGGGCAAATAGTTAACCCTCAAACTGGGGTCAAAATATTATGAAAGTATAAAAATAGATTTTTATAGTAAAAATGCCAGCAAAACATTTTTTTAAAATATTATTAGAAATACATTTTTCAAAAAAATATTACCAGCAATACATTTGATTCTCGACAAAAAACCCCTTTACTAAAACACGTCAATGAAACCCGATCTACAAACTGATTTCTTACAAAGAATACATATTCTATTCATACGAACATATCCTAAAAGTCTTGTTGGCGTTAAATGACCCATTAAAGTTGATATGCCGTAAAACAAAATAAACCAGACCAAACCTCTAACTCTGTTTTTGCCACCCACTCCTACTCTTGAAGAATTTTTAACTTTTCCTTCCAATTGGTTCCTTCCTTTGTTTTTCTGCATTCTTTATAATCTCACTTTTATCTGTTAAATATTTCTTTTCTTATCCTTCAATGTAAACTTTTGTTGGTTGCCTTTTATTTCTGTCTACTGCATGTTTAATTAATAAACATCTTTGAGTAAAAATCTCTGCATTAGAATAGTCTTTATTTAAATGTCACCTTGCAAATATTTGCCAATACAAAACTTTTATTGCATTTCATTTTCCCTGCCCAGGAATATAAATTCCAAATGTCCTCATTTGCTACTTTCACAATCAGCCTTTTCGTTCACTCATTTTCTATCCATGCATCTTTGCTATTCAAATATTTATGAGCTGATTATATTTGCTTCATTTCATTTATCCTTCTTCCATTGAAAGAATTGTAAAAAAAAAAAAAATTATCTGATATAAAAAAAATTTGATTTTTTTCTATTGTAGTAGACCTGAAAGTTTCAAATCGACCAATATATATTTGGTTGGATTGATGTGAGTTTGTGTGTGTATATATATATATATATATATATATATATATATGCTCAATAATGATGATGGTATCTAATTACATTTTCTTTTTAATTAGATTTCAAATTTGAACTGGAAGTGAACTTACAAATATTTGAAGATTGAATGTTATTACTCATTTGCTTTAGAAGGTCGCTGATTAAATTGGAATGCAAGAAACGTTGTTGTTGGGTTGGCTTAGGCATATCAGTTGTTGTTTGGTAGGATTTTCATGCAAACAGTTTCGTTTTTGCCTGTAACATTCCATAATGTCTGAGTATCTAAGTACCTACGCATATTCCCAATAAAGTTAATCTGTTCTTTGACACTTCTCCAGAACCAAGACAAACAGCATTTCTTTGATTGATTTTTTTTTTTTTCATGGCTTATCAGCCTTTTTGCAAGTTGGTTAAAACCGAAACATATCTTTAGATTGTAAGAATTTTTTGGAGATAATAATGATTTACTGATATTTCTTGCTAATTAATCCATATTTGGGGGAGAAGAAATGGATTCATATCTTTCCCAAGAGTATTTCTACATAAGTCAATATAACGAACCCAACTGGAATTGGAACTCTGCTCTCTGATTTCCAATTCCTAGTCATTATACATTACATTGGCTGCAATCCAAGCTTGCAGCGTCTGGTCTTCCCAAATGGTAAACCATCTAGGTACTGGCCAGGCTCGATGTTACTTAAATCCGGTGACCACTGGATAATTGGGGTTTCAACATTATATGGCCATAAGTTTCATTCCTTTAATCTTTTCTATAATTATTAACATTAAAAGTCAGTCAGCATAGTTTAAGCATTATCTTTAAGATGACTGAACAATTCCAAACAATTTAGGTGTAACAGAATAAAGGCATTATCCAAAAGGGAAAACTGTTGAAATTAAATTTAACAATAATTGGTTTTGACATTTTAACACAAAAGTTCAAAGGAAATAATTTTAATGCCTAATTTCTTTTTTCAGATTTTGAATGATCTTTTTAGGGTTATCAGAAAAAAATGGACATTGGTTTTGGAAAATTAATTTTATGAAAATGTAAACACTTTTGCTATGGCTTTGCAATATTTTTTTCTTTCATCAAGTTCATATTGAAAGTAACACAACTTTGAAATGTCTATTTCTTTGTTCAGAATTAACGAAAATGAAATATATAATTCTACTGAAGAAACCTGATTGCCATAAAAAGGAAGACACATTAACATGGGAATCTGAAAAGATTTTTTGTCCAACCAAAAAGGGATTACAAAAAATGAAAATCTTGTGTTTAGTCATTTGGTCAGAATTTGGGAACTAGATTTGGTTGAGAAAATTTTTCAACATTCCATTCTAGTTACATAACCATTTTATAGTGAGTTATTGATAAGATATAAATTATTTTTTATTTTTAACCTTTTTCATGTGTGATATTCATTTCTGATTAAAATTACTTCTTGCCTTTTAATTTCACTCTTTGGTATGTTAATATATATAATCTTAGCACTGAGTTGGTTACAGCATGGATGAGGTGGCAACTATTAAAGGCTTAACTGGCTTATCAGGTAGAAATCAATCATGTTCAGATCATGAATGGCACTGGTTTAAAATGGTTTTTACTTCAAAATTGTTTATAATCTTTATTAATACAATGATTGTTCTGTAAGTAATGCCTATTATGTTGGCTCATAATGACAGAGATGGATTAATTTTGGTGGTATAACACTAGGGATTTCAAAGAGACTGTAATCTTTTTCTTGCTGCACATAGCATTTGAGTGGTAGTCTGGCAAAATGGCATCTGACATGAAAGTGCATACAAAGCAGATGTGTGGCTAGATATATGACAAGTCATGTTCATTGCTGTTTAAAAAGCATAGCTAATTATGATGACTGTGGTAAAAATAGTGTAGCTGAAAACTTGCTCTATCCAACAGTGTTGTTGTGCTCCCCCATGTATTGTAGTTTTTGTGGAAATAAATAGGAAACATTACTTTTGGGTCATTTTAATATGTTTTATAATAATTTATTAATAAAGCATTTATAATATAAATCAGGGTGAAAAATGACTATAAAAATCAATGTGTTTTAGTGAAAGAAATGGAATTAAATGATAGAAAAGGGATTATAAGATTATAACTTTCTAAAATGATTCCAGAAAGGTGACTCTAAAAGGATTCCAGTGAGCAGAATTCTTTATTTCAAGAGAACAATGCTGTATTGTTGGTTTTTGTAATTTTTTGTTACTTTTGTCATTATTAAGAGATATATATGTATTTTTCTATTTGGATATTGAGGTGTAAAATGCGTTTGGTGGAGAAATAAAGAAATACAAAAAAAACCCTTAAGAATCAATGAAACTATGTAAAATGTAGACTTTTGCAAAATTTAAGTTTTTGTGCAAAAAAGGTACACTATTTTTTTTAAATTTAAAATTATTTTCCCATTTTGATTGAACTATTTTAACTAAGGTTTGTTGAAAATTTTAAATTCTGGTTTTAATGTTAATATTAAGTGTTTCCTTATAAGGAAACATTTGGCATTCATTGACTGAGCAGCCAGTGCTGCTTTCGATTGGAATTTATAAAGTCTTTTTCTTAAAACTTTTTCTTCATGAAAGTAGGTTTCTCAAGTCCAGTAGCCGTTTTCATTCTTTCCAGTAATGATGGCTGTTTTCTTTTTGATTATGTCATTATTTTCTCTTCAAGTTACATGTGATATCTGTTTCTATGTTTGTGAAATTTTGAAAATGAAAAAGATATGAACATAATTGTAGAAATTGGTTCACCAGGTGTTTTAGAAATAGGTAAGAAAAGTTCTTGTTTGGAGTCAGTATCAATTATTGATAAAAAATTATGGAGTTTTTTTTGTGTTCAACAATATCATTATGAGTTATGAAATACCTTTTTTATTTATATTCTTTTTATTAATTAGTTTAGCAAAATCTACAATTCTTTTAATAATTTTTATTTGCATGTAAATGAACCTTAAAAGTAAAACACTTTTCTCATTTTGCGTCTGTAGAATAATTGAGCTCTTCTTCAGATGTAACATACAATTGAAATTATGATCATTTCAATATCTTGCTTTGCGAATTTAGTTTTCCACTGAAGAAAATTCATATGTAAATGCATATAGTTCCTCAAAAACATTGTATTATTACTTAAATAAACAGCTGACCACTTATTAGCACAAAAGTTGCTCTTCTTTATTTAACCCAAATTCATGAGGGAACGTAATGATTGTCTATGCAAACATAATTGTGCAAGTTTGAAGTAGAGTTTAAATTGATTTATTAGTATTGGACATTAAGATATGATGAACTCTTTCTTTATTTTACTGATTGTTACCTTGCCTGCACAAATACTATCATTTGATCATCTCTTTCTGTTCAGTTATGAAAAAGTGCTGAAAATTTCTTGGCCTGACTAAAGGGATTTCTAAATAAATTCTATTGTTTGGTGGGATTCTGCAAAGAAGTTTGAAGAAGAATTTTTTTTTCATTGACCTTTTGAAGGTGTCTTG